ATCTTTGTTGATGTATTTAAAACCCTTATGGAATGATTGCTTCTCAGAGGTGTCTTCCAGATATAGCTGGTCTTTAGGTTTTGAGTCTCTAATGACTCTGAGGCTATCTTATTTTCATTATACCAGGAAGGACAACTGTTAAGATCAATCACAACACCTTAGCCCAAGTGATACAGTCAGCAACACCATAGCATCAAATACATCTTAGAGAATGACAATTTATGGTAGTTATTAATCTATCACCTTTAAAAATGAAGGGCCTCCTTCAGGGTATGTCTCTGCTGCCACAGTAGACAACGTGGGCAGGAGTGTGCAGTTTTAAGTCAATGAGTCTCAGTAAGCTAGTCCCAGACCCGTGAGATTCAGGCAGATTCCACGTTCTGATGCAAGCTGATGATAAGTTGAGCTCCCTGTCCCTCCAACTTACCAATCATGGTGGTCTGGTGTGCCTTTATTGCAGAGATTCCCTTCACTTTTCCAGTGGGCTTGTTTTCATCAGGGAGCCTGAGGCAGGCCCTCTCTCTGTTGTTCACTTCTGCAGCTCAGGACAATGGCTTTTATGTCCCCCTGTGCCTCTGCAGTGTGTAACCAAGTAGTTGCACAGGCAAAAGCCAGAGGCTGGAGTGAGCGGGGTCTGTTGTTGGAGGCACCTGCACGGCCAAGCCGTCACCTGCCTGGTGGGCCTGCCGGGGGGGAGCAGGGTCCTTCTCACCCTGTCCTGGTGGCTGGTGGCAAGCTCTTGGAGCAAGCCGGAGCAAGCATGTCCCAGTCAGCCTGCAATCACTCGGCCCCACTTGGCCCCCATCATATATTTTTCATTAAGAATATTTCTCTTCAGTCCCTTAGAGCCTGATTTTATTTATTTTGGATATAAACCCTGAAGTGGGATAGCCAGATCACATGGTAAATCTATTTTTAGTTATTTGATGAACCTCCATACTGTTCTTAGTTAATATCCAGAATATGTAAAGAACTAAAAAAAACTTAATGACAGACACATGTAATCCAACTTAAAAATAGACAAGTGATCTGAATAGACACTTCTCACAAGAAGAAATACAAATGGCTGACAATATGTTTAAAAATACTCAGTATCGTTACCTATCAGAGAAATCTAAATTAAAACTTCAATGAAATATTATCTTATCCCAGTTAGAATTGCTATTTCAAAAACAAAGAACAACAACTGCTTACAAGACTATGTATAAAAAGGAAGTTTTCTACACTGCTGATGGGAATGTAAATTAACATGTAGTCTTTGGACAGACATCTTTCACTTAGTAAATGTCTTACTGTTTAATAGCTTATTTCTTTTTAGCACTGAATAATATTTCATTGTCTATATTTTCCAGTGCTTTTAATCACTTCACCTACTGAATTTTATCTTGGTTCCTTCCATCGTTTGACAATTCTGAATAAAGCTGCTGGCTTTTCATGTGTACGTAGGTTTTCATTTTCTTAGGTAAACAGCAAAGAGCATGATTGCTGGATTGTATGGTGACAGTGGATCTGGTTTATCAGAAACCTCCAAACTGCTTATCTCATGTTGTACGCTCACCCAAAACAAATGTGAGTTCCTGTTGTGTGGGAGTTCTTGTTCTCCCTCCTTGCCGGACTTTGGGATTCTCAGTGTTCTGAAGTGTGGCTGTTCAAGTAGATGTGCAGTGGTGTGTCCTTGTTGTTTTCATTTGCCTTTTGCTAATGACATGTGATGTTGGGCATCTTTTCCTCTTTCTTTGCCACTGTATTTCTTCTTTATTGAGGGGTCCTTTAAGGCCTTAGCTCATTTTTAATTGGATTTTAAAAATTTTTTATTCTGAGAGTTCTAGGTATATTTTGGATAACAGTCCTTAATCCGTTATATACTATGCAAATATCTTCTCTTAGTCTGGACTTCTTATTTTCTTTACATCATCTTTTGAGGAGAAGAAGTTTTTAATTTTAATGAAACCCAGTTTATGAATTTTTTTTATGAATCATGCCTTTGAGGTTGTACTTAAAATGTTATCACTTCACCCAAGGCTGTCTAGGTTTTCATCTGTGTGCTCTTCTAGGAGATTTATAGTTTTGTATTTTAAATTTGTATCTATGATACATTTTGAGTTAATTTTTATGAAGAGTGTGAGGTCTGGGCTTAAAGTCTTTTTTTTGCATGTGAATGTCCAGTTGTTTCAACATCATTTGTTGCAAAGACTGTCTTTGTTTCGTTGCTTTTGCTTCTTTGTCAAAGGTTCTTGACTATCTTTATGGGGGTTATTTCTGAGCTGTTTATTGATTTATCTATTCTTTATCTCTAATACCATGATATTCTCATTATTGTAGATTTATAGTAAGTCTTGGAAGGTCTGATAGGCATTTCTCTAACTTTGCTCTTTTCCTTCTGTACTGTGCTGGCTATTCTTTTGCCTATTGATATAAACTTTAATTAACGTGTCAGTACCTACAAAATAACACTGTGGGATTTTGACTGCGATTGCATTGAATGTGTAGATTAGAGAGAAGAACTGACATATTTACAACATTTTTTCCCCTTTTTTGGCAGTACTGGGATTGAACCCAGGACTTTTGCACTCAGCTATATCCCAAGTCCTTTTTTCATTTTTTAATCTTAAGACAGTGTCTGCTAAGTTGTCCAGGCAAAGCTCAAACATGCAATTTTCCTGTCTCAGTCTTCCAGAGTCCTGACATTTCAGCAATGTGTGACAAGTCCCCACTTCAAAATTGAGTCTTTCCAGATATGAACATGAAATATCTCTCCATTTACCTAGTTCTTTTTTGATTTCATTATTGGGTTTTGCTCTTTCCTCATGTAGATCTTGTGCATACTTTATTAGATTATTCCTAGGTATTTCATTGTTGGTGGGGTGCTAATGTAGATAGTATTATGTTTTTAATTTCAATTTCCATGTGTTCCTTTCATTGCTAGTATATAGGAAAATGCCTGACTTTTGTATATTAACCTTGTATCTTAGAGCCTTCCTGTAATCAATTATTATCAATTTGATCGCAGAAGTTTATTTGATCTTTCTTTTAATTAGTACATTGACATTAGAGCATTGTGATTCAGAGTGCTTAATGATTTATTTGGATTAATACCTAAAGTATTGGTTTTTGTTTTCACTTGTTGCCCTTGCTTTTTCTTCCTACTTTTTTCTTTAATTTTTTTTCTGCTTTTTGTGGTTTGATTGAACATTTTATATATTATATATTCATTTTTTTCTTTAACATATCAGTTATACTTTGCCTTTTAATTTCTTATAGTAGGTACCCTAGAGTTTGCAGTATACATTTCAAACAAATTCAAATTAACTTCATTTGAGTTAATCCATTTTCTTTCACATAATAACCTCCCAGATAGTGCAAGTACCTTATAATAACAAGATGACCCTAATTCCTTCCTCCTATCCTTTGTATCATTGCTGTCAATTACTTCTCTTTCATAGCAGCATACATAATTATAAGTGTTCATCATATGCATGTATACCATCCCCCGCTACTGTGCATGTTGGGTGTTGTTGTCTTCTCTGGAGATTTGCCCTTAGACAAATAGAAACTGTGTCACTCAGGTGAGCACTTCTCCTGTATTGCACTGGTAGTTTTCATCAAGTGACTGCTGTCATAGTGAATTCAGCCCGGCCTACAGTCCCAGCAGCTTCTCCCGTGTGATCAGGTCCAGACTGCATTGTTTCCTCTCCTTGTTCTCCTCTTCTTTTTTCTGGAAACTTCCCTTTACTTATTCATATGTATCTGAATTGTCTTTTGCTCTGATTTTAGGGAATCTAAGATAAGATAATAGTATAAAACATTAGCATGCTGGAAAAAAAATCACATAACAATCAATTGCTTTTCTGAGTATTTCTGTGGGAGTTGGGGACTCAAATCCAGGGCCTTGTGCATGCTAAGCCCCAGCTCTACTGCTAGGGTATCCCTTCAGCCCCTAAGTTATTTCTGGAACAAATGTTGTAGCAAAAATACTGTATAAAGTGCCTAGCAGAGCTCCTAGTACAGAGCAGCAAAAGGTCAATTACTCATAGCTGTAATGAGCATGATGAGAGTAATGATGATGGTTGTAACATCACTTCCTGCGCAGCAGTGTTCGATTTCCGTGCACTGCACACTTCATGATGTTATAGATATATACAACATGGGTCAAACTTACTTTTTCTGTTTATATCTCCAAACTGCTCCACACTGAACTGCTATTTTTCTGCCAACGTTGGATTATATTTTCCTTTCAATCTTTTCAAATACCAGTTGTTTTCTAGTACTCATTTGAGTTGTGTTTCTTTTTATACTGAGTCTAAGTATCAGATCATTAGGTGTTTCCCTTCTCTGATTTGTCATATTTTTATTCTCAGTCTTCTGTATCTCAGCCCTGTTAAATACTATAAGAAAACTAGTTTACATATGTACTTCAAATGGCTGATTATTTCCTAATATAGTTTGTCTCTTAAGGAAATAATTATAGCCTTTGAGGATTTTTTTGTGAATTTAATAACTTTAAAAATTAGTAATTGTTGAGAAGTATTTAAAACTTCTAGGTCAGTGTAGACATGAAAATGTTTTTAGTATAAACTTGAGTTTTTTATCAAGGATAATTGTATATAAACTTTTTCTATATAAGCAACTTCTGTATGTGTAAGTTTGCATAAAAATTATACTGTATTTAACAGTATAGTAATTCTAAAATATTAATTGTAAAATTTGAATATTTGTCATTCTTTTTTCATGTGTTTATAAAATATTTTCCTTAATATTATGCTTTATCCATTGTAATCTATATTTAACATGTTCAAAGTCCTTCAGCTTCACCAATATTTACTGTTTTTGAGTAAAGTAGAAAATACACAAAGGGGTTAATATGTAGATAATCGTATTTATTAACCTTTCCACCTTTAGATTATCGACACAATGGTCGAGATCTTCAAAGCTCCACATTATCAGTGCCAGAACAAGTAATGTCATCCAACCATTGTTCACCATCAGGGTCTCCTCATCGAGTGGATGCCATAGGAAGGACAAGGTCATGGTCGCCCAGTGTCCCCCCTCCACAGAGGTAACGCAGCATGTACTTTTTACCATGGCACTACAGCGTATTTGTCATCAAGTATCATAAACTTAGGGAAAAAAGTTATTTAAGAAAAACAAAATGTTATTCAATAACCTATATAATGAGAAAAATATGGGTTAATTTGAAATTGTAGATGATTTATATATTACTTGATTGTAAGAATTCAAAATAATCAAGCATTTTAATCACATATCAGATTAAGCAGATGTAATTAGATCTAACTTTGCAGATGAATGATATAGATATTGGTAATTTGAGAAATAGGACAAATAAACATCTGATTGTCCTTTAGAAATAAGAACAATCATCAGAAGAATTTAAAAGAATGCATGTGCAGTGGGAAGGATGGCTTAGGAAATCTGTAGCACCAGGGCTTAATTAGTGGAAAGTTCCAGTCAGTCTAATGAAGTACAGAAGGGGTTAATGAAGTAAGAATCATGGAAATAATAGTTAAGCCTCGCAAGAAATATGCACCATTTACATTTTGTATATTTATAATGTTGAAGAAAACCTCATTCGTTAGATTAACAGCCTTATAACTCATTTTTAGTTGAATTAGTTTTAGACTTAATTTTAATTGAATCTTAATTTTACACACATTGGACCAGAAGAATGTTAGATTTGTTATATTTTTAAATTCAACTTATTTAATTTACAAGGAAATTTACCATCAAAATGGGTTTACTTAATTTAGATAATTACAAAACTTAAAAAGAAAATCTATTAAGTTTATAAATATAGTTTATAATATTTGAAGGTGTTGAATTAAGTGTTTGTAAATAGGACTGTAATTATTAAATTTACTGAAAAGTAGTTGCTTAAATGGAGATTTGTTGATGAATAAAATCTGTAATCTGACATTTAAATTTCGAGAGAGAACTAGTTTTGAGTTAATAACCTAAAAAAAAAATAATTCCATCTCCTTAAACAGAAAGACCAAAGAATACATGTGAGGCATTCTCCTTTCTGCAGTCAGTGCAGAACACTCTTATCTGATGTGTTTTTTCCCTCATACCAGGCAATTTGAGGGACCAGTCACCAGCTGAGTACCCCTAATTCACATCAGTTGTACTGTCTCTTGGAGGTAGTGTCAGGTCCCACGAGACTGGCTCCACTTCAGAGCCCAGTGCCAAGTGCCAGGAGGTGATCTGTCGTTCACTGACTGAACAGCTGTAAACTGGAGTTTTCACAACCCCCTCCTTGGGTTTGATCATTTGTTAGCTGGCCTCACACAACTTAGCACAACAGTTTACTTGCATTCAGTGGTTTCTTACGGATATCGTAACAGATGCAGATGAATAGCCAGATGCAGAAATGGATAGGACAAAATATAGAATCGGGGAGGGGGGCTTCCATGTGCTCAGTGGTTATGCTGCACTCTCAGCACCTCTACATGTTCTGCAGCCTGGTAACTTTGCGGATCTTGTTGTTCAAGAAGTTGGTGGGTAGAGTGTAAGTTCCAACACCCTCATCCTGGAGCCACTTGTTTTTTCTGGTGACTGGTCCCATCCTAAGGATATTTAGGATCTCACCTAATAAAATCTCATTACCATAATCTCAGAAATTATCAAAGGGTTTTGGCATGAAAAACGAAAGATAATGAAATCAGAAAATTCCAAGGGTTTTAGGAGCTCTATGTCAGGAACCAGGGACAAAACCTAAATATATTTTGTATTATATCATAGCTTTCCTTTTACCAAAGAAAGTTTGAACCATCTAATATAACATAGGTGTGGGTTCTAGATTAGATTCAACTGCATATAAGACAAAGCCCATAATAACAAGAGGTTAGACTTTAAAAAAATTTATCCTAGCATGGAAAATAAATGTGTGAATGTGGACTCCATAGAAGAATGATAGCTAAAATAATTATCATTGATCAGTTACAGAGACTTCAGTTTAGATTTTAAAACAAAATAACAATCATCATCCCTAAAATATGATCCGTCAATATATTATATAATAGACAATATATTTAAAATAAGAGCATAGTATGAAAACAAAGGCATGAAAAACATAATCAGCATATAGAAACCAAAAGAAATTGGAATCCCAATTTCAATTTTAAAAGTTTAACCCAGTTTCAAAAATGTTATAAAAACAACGTATATTCTAGGGGGAAAACCCCCCAGAATACTAAACCTAAAAGGTCTGACAATTACTACCTGTTTGTATTGTAGAGCTTGTACTTTACATAAAGGCTGGACAAGAATGGGCCAAACTCAGTCCTGCACTTCGGTCAACTGTGTTCTCAGAAGCTCAGTTCTCTAGGAGGCAATGCTTTTCCAAATTTGACTTAAGGCATGCTAAAGACTAGTGAAAAGACTGGGCATAATGATCATGGACAAATAAAAATCTTCAAAATATAAAAAACAACAACCAAAATGGTTAGACAGAGAAATAAATACACAGTTGTATTTGGAGATCTTAACATAGCCCAACAGAAGGCAGTAGCTAAACCAGGCCCCTCCTAATAGCAATGGCTTAGAAGATTTAAATAATACATGTGTTTGCTCAAACTTATTGTGTGAAGTAAACCTATATTCTGTCTGTGTCTTTTGTGTAAAGTTCCACGCCATCCAAGCAAAGATTATAAAGTATCTTTTAAGAGAAAACATTTAAAAATAACTGGTAAAAATAATGATGAAAAAGAAAAGCTCAATAAATCCTATATAAACCATTTTATGGGAATATTATGCAATACATTTATAAGCCTATAAAAAGACAGTTTTAAAATTCCTAGAACTTTCTAAATAACTTGGTTGACAATTAAACAATGAAGAGGAAATCCTGAAATGTCAGAATTGAATGACAGTGAAAGTTCTGTTAAGCATTTGTGGTTCACAAGTATTTAGGAGATTTTCACCTTAAGAAAAAGAAATGTATTAGAAAAAAAAAGATTGGACATGGTGAAATGAGATTATTTTATATGTGATGTGGAGAAAAGTGAGCCCTTGTACTATATTGGTGGCAATGCAAATTAGAGTCATTTATGAGGGTTGAGATTCTTCAAAATATTAAAAGTAGAACTATCATATAATCCTGCAATTGTATTTTTTGGCATATATTTAAAGGATATGAAATTAGTATATTAATGATATCTACAATGATCATTGTAGCATTAGTAACAATAGCTAAGATAAGGAATACCTTATGTGTCTATCAATGGATGAATGGTGTACATATAAGAATATGGTGCATATAAATAGTAGAATAGTGTTCACCCTTTAAAAAAAGAAAACCTTGTTCCCTTTTGTGTGTGACAATATGGATGGACCTGGAAGATGTTAAGTGAGATAAACCAGACATACATAGACAAACATCATATGATCTCACATACATTTGGAATCTAAAAGAGTTGAAGTCATAGATATAAGTAAAATGGTGGGAGGTGGGAAGACTAGGGAGATGTTGGCCAAAGGACACAAAATTTCAATTTGACCCAAGTAAATAGTTTAGGACATCTCTTGTATATTGTGGTGATTATAGGTTTTCATCAAGTTGCTGAGACCATATCTCTCTGTTGCATACAACTGACTCTTGAAACAAAAAGAATGAAAGCTGTGTAGCTCTTCCTGGAGTCAGTGTAGGCCTACCCTAATCCTCATGGTGTAAGACAATTTTACAAGCATATTTTAGTTACAAACAGATGTAAAAATTTTATATGACCAACTAAATCTAACCATGAATTAAAAGCAAGCTAGATACCAGAAAATTTCTTGTGGTAATTCATCACATAAAGGACTAATGGGGAAATAAACCTCATTACAGGTAGAAAAATAATTTTATTATTCAATTAGATAGTAAACTAGAAGTAAAAGAGAACCATCTACAGTTCATAAAGGCTTTTTAAAGCAAGCATGTACTTAAAGGAAAACTAGGCATTTGTATTTGATTATATAATATCCTAAACAATATATTATATCCAGTCCTGAAAAATATTATAAAACAAGAAAAATAAGAGGTGAGAGAATTGGCAAAGAAGAGATGAAACCATCATTATTTGTTAAAAATGGTTTTATCTACATAGAAAACAGCATAACCAGAATATTCAAACTAATGTGGGAATTCTACCAAATAGCTGGCCATAAAACAGCTTGCAAAAATGAGTAATAACAGATGAAGAAATGTAATGAGAGTCCCAAAAGCACACATCTCAAAGGCAACACCGAGTGTGTGGTCATTCATCTAACAGTTCACAAAGGTCTTCTTAGAAAAATGTAGAAATTGAGATAAACGTAATATATCCTATTCATGAGTAGAATGGTTTCAGTGCTGTATGTATTAATCCAAAATGCCATACCCAGCAGAATTATATGTGCAATTTTTGAAATTTGATATCACTTTAGAATTTATATGAAAGGGTAAAGATGTACAAATTATCAAATTAAAAAGAAGAGAAAAATTTACCACCAGCTCATGCATAGTAATAGACATACTGAATAGGATAGTGCAATATATGTATGTATATACATAATTTATACATATTTCATATTAATACATGTTTATAAAGGTGGCACTACTAATTAATATGGAAAGTGGACTGGAAAAGATAGGAGAACCAGTTCATCTATAAAATAAAACTAAATACTAGATTCTTGCCTTTCTACAATTGGAGATGCCATGGTCTTAGTTGTGTTTCAGAGGGCTAGTGTGTGTCTGGTTGAATTGGGGAAGGTGGAAGAAAGAATACTGAGGCAGCCGTTACAGGGAGTGAATGAAAATGGTAGTTTGGCCTGGGATGCTACCAAGGGGCATGGTTAGAAGTGAGCAGTTTGAGTTGCTCTCCTGAGCTCTGAACTCTTGTCCGGCCGCTTATGCGGCCTCTCTGGCTCCATTCGTGTAGACCAGGTAAACAGGCTTGTGTGACACTGAACTCATTTTCTCCACACACATCCATTCCTCCTCTTGAATTTCATTTCTTGAAAACTGGGAGTCATCCATTAATAGCTCTGATATTCCTTACCTCATTTCCAGCGACATTGGTTTAATTTGGGCTCTTTTCAAGTTATATTTCTTTTATGGCAGCAATCTCCTTAATTGTCAATTTCCAACTGATATATATACCATTAGCCAAAGTATAAATAAAGAAAAAAATTGGACTTGACATTACAGTGACTTTGTTTCTGTTTTTATTAATAAACTTCATTTCTTAGTATGTGCTTATGGCTTACTGGAATATTTAATGTGTCTTGCTGTTTTAGTCGGAATGTGGAACAGGGACTTCGAGGGACACGCACGACTACTGGACATTATAATACAATTAGCCGCATGGATAGACATCGTGTCATGGATGATCATTATTCTCCAGAGAGAGACAGGTAAATGTAACTAAATGCTATTAGGCTTTATCATACCACACATTAGGGATTGTCGTAAAATGCTTTTATCTGCTTTGTTATTTTAGTTTCTAGAAACATGCGTTCCTTTAGCATGGCCATAGTCTTTGTTATGGCTGCTACATTGGTAACACAAACACACACAAGACAACAAGGAACAAAACCATTTTGCATTTTTAGTTTAGTCTTTTATTAAATAAAACTAAAATTTTCACAAGAGATTATAATAATAATCATTGTAATAACAAGATGTATCATTTACCTTATCACAACCAATTATTTTATGTAAAACTACTTTAATTATACAATAGACTGAAGTCTTTTATGTACATCAGAAAAATTAGTGTGACTTTTCATATACAGAAGTATTGAGAGAGTATGGTTTGTTTGGGAAGCATTTTATCATGATTCATGAAGAGGTTTTCCTTCATGGCTTTCAGTAAACTCCTTAGTCGTCTTAAAGAATCATGCTTATTGATTGCTGTATCTGGAAGAATTCTCTGAATTTCCTCCACTAAATGTGACAAACTTGGAGGTAGCGTGGTATGTTACAATGCTTACATTAATCATTACTAATTTTAAAAGTTAATAAATTGATTAACTCTCCAATTCATGCTTTGGTTATATATAAAAATGCTGTGATATTTTCCCCAAACTACCAAATAAATTTGAGATTACATGAGGCAGAGAGCTGAATTTACTATTTAGAAAGTATGATAAAACAGGGGAACTCAGATGTTCTTTTGTATGTCTCTTACACCACTGCATGAAGGATATTGGGTGCTTTAAAATCTACTGATATGAGAAATTACTGTCAGTATATATACATGTATTTGTTTTGTCTAAATCCAAATTAATACTCAATTCATGTTTATAATTTCATTGTGCTTTACTATGCATTTGCAAAAGAAAAGGTATCTTAGGTCTCAGTAGTATCACACAAATACTGGTTTTTATGTCTGAGATTTAAGAAGAAATTAAGTTATTAAATTAGTATCAGTATTAGTGTCAAATGAAAGTCAATGTAGGAGTTTCTTTTTTAAAATTTTCTTGACTTTTTATAGTAGTCTATTCCTTTAGACCTGATTATGCGCATTGACCTGTTGAAAATGATACTACCCAAATTATCAAACCAAAAGAAAGTTTAATGTGTTGGCATGTGTAACAGTTGGAAAGAGTCATATTAGGGCAGGTTAAGAGCTGCTTTAATTGCCTAGTGGAATTTTGAGAAGCTGAGTAGTTTCTGGAAAGTATTTACACAGCAAGTCAAAGCTCCTTTTTCACTGAAGGTTTGGTAATGGGAGGAATAACAGCAAAGTCTGAAATGACTTTATGCTTCCTTCAGATATATAGAAAGTGTTCTGTTAATGAAAAATAGACTTCATTTCAATGAGGACAAGTAAATATGACCTAATCTTAGAAAAGAATAAAATACAACACTGGGTGCTGTTGTATTAAATGCAGGATTTACCAGTATTTTAAGGCAAGTGATCCTGGACTTAATGACAACAAACCTTGAAATACTTGCCTTAAAATATTTGCTATTAAACCCTAGTAAGTGATGGCGAACCTTTTAGAGCTTTCAGTGGTACAAACAGCCAGCCGTGGCACTGCCCTAGGTGATGAATCTGTGGTATATTATAGTCATATCAGAGATCACATGTGGCATGCGTTTTTATGCCTACTCCAATTTATATCTGTAATTGACACATCATTATATTTTCTGCTTTACTTTATAACTTTATGCATCTTTTAGTTTTGAAAAATTTTCAAATGATTTTCTGTTGAAGTTTTGGAGGAAATTGATTCAAGTTGTTTTGTTACTCTTTTTAGTGTGTTGTAGATTGCTAGATCAGTTATTCTTAAATGGGATCTGCCTTAGATCGTGCTTTGAAACAAGTAAAATAGAATTTCATTTAGGTAGAAGTAAAACAACCTATTCTGTAATATTATTTTTTGGATTATCTATGCTACCATTATTCATTAACATTTATAATAATGTATATAGTCTCTCACATTATTAGTCTTTCATTTCTGCTTTACCTAATATTATAAAGGATTTTCAACAATAAAATACATTTGAAAGCATTATAGTTTTAATGTAGTATTTAGAAGGTAGGGATATTCCAGATTTCTTACCTGAATTTTCTTGAGTAGCATTTTATAGAGGAGTCAATAATGTTATTGCTTAAAAACACTAAGGGAGAAATTGAGATAGTACATTTTAGGTATTGTGAGAGAGACAGTAACATTTCTTATCAGTAAGAATTGATGCATTGGGTAAGAATAGTATTTTATTAACGTTCTCTTTTTCATAGGATTTGGAACAAATACCTTTGGATTCAAATGTAGAATTTTATGTCTTGCTAACAATGTGTCTTAGGGAAAATAACCTCTTTGATGATTGATTTGCTTATTTATAAATTTAAAGTATGAGTACCAACCTTACAGAGTTGTCTGAATTAACTGGTGTCTCCAATTAATTTTTATATTTCTTGTCAGACAGTCAATATCAAAATATGCAATACATACCCATAATTATTTCATCACAATTTCCTGATATATACTAAAAAATTGTGCCTACCTCTTAGCATTTGAAAGGATCTTTTAGCTCCCAAATAATTTACACTTAATTGCTTACTAATTAAGCAAAAACAACACAGAAATCAGTCAATTCCAGTAGTTTTTTTCAAAGTTTTGTTGAGAGTGTAGGACTTAAGTTGGACTTTGAGAAATGGACATGTTTATTCAGGTCAGAACAAGAGCAAAAGAGGCAGAACCCACCTATACCTTGTATAGGCCCAGTGTGAAGGAGAAGGGTTTTCAGCACATGTTGGGAAGTTGTGTGTGAAGACAGTGGCTTTTACACTGACTGCAGTGGGTGAGAAACGGTACCTTTGACATCAATTTATAGTACATGATTAAACGTAAGTGATATAAAGAGAAAATAGAGTATGCAGATTCTTTTCCATAGGTAATATAAAACAATTGTCTATTAAATATTTTATTGCAAACTTTTTCTTTGGAAGTCTTTGTCATTGCTACTGATAATCTTATTTTGTTTTGAAAAGTAAATAGATTCTTTTCAAGGCACATCCAGGATGCATGAACATTAATTAAAATAATAATTTATAAAGGACATCTTTCATCTTCCATGACTCCTGTCCCCTAATTGTATCATTTTTTTCCCTAGTAACTACTGCAACCAGGAGCATAGTTTTCCTGGGGGCATATTGTATGGTTTTAGTATTAGAAATCATTTCAAAACGGATTTTTTGTCTATGTGAGGTAATTTACTGATAGAATATGTATATAGTATTAGATACTATTTATGTCACAAATCAGAAGTAGCCTGCAGTATGCATTTTTATGGCTATCCCAAAGGCCAAAATATATTAGCTACTTTTATATTCTTGAATTATGCTTTTAACACTGTAAGGAAAAAGTAATATTAAACATAAATATATATAAATATAAATATATATTTTAATATATATTTATTTATTTTTAGTGGTGTTGCTGGTGATTGAACCACTGAACTACTTCCCTAGCCCTTTTTTTCATTTTTTATATCAAGACAGGATCATGTAAGTCATTAATTTGCCCAAGCTGAGTTTTACCTTGCATCTGGGTCCTAGAGTGCTAAGATTGTAGTTGTGTATCACCACACCTGGCTAGTAGATTTATATTCTAAAAAGGAAAACACCTTATTAAATTCTGAAACGTAAAATGCCTTGTAATCTAGTACAATTTATATATTCTGTATCAGGCAGCCAATTATAAAAAACGTAGCACATTCTCACAATTATTTCATCAAAAAGAAGAATCTCCTTGGTCTTTTCAGTTATCCTCTGTGAGAGAAACACATGTCTCAAAGTTTAAATTTATAAAGAAAGTAAATGAAAAAACAGAATTCACTTTAAGTATTTTCATAGATTATATGTTACATTTCAGGAATATATTTTAAGGCAGTTAAATAATACTGTTATATTGTAGGAGCTGTAAATGTCAATAATGTTAGAGATAGAGCAGAAGGTTTTGCATTAAGTTGGTTATTGCAAACAGCTTTCAATATCTGTAGGATTACTTACAGGTAGGATATTTTATCTCTTTCTTTCATGGTATTTTTTGTATATCTGGTAGTTCCTAAAAGGGGACATTCAGACTAATTTCCTTTAGCAGAAAGATTCATTATAATAATGAACAATGAATAATTTTGTGTTGTCTCTAGATGTTATTTTATTTAAGAAGCATAATGTGTCCAGAAATTGTATTAGTAATCTAGTTTATGTCTTTGAATAGTATTTGTATCATAATTCTTAGAATCTGCAACTTTTTTATTTTTTGCTTTTTAAAATTTAATGAATTTAATTTTATGATTTTTCTTTTTAAATGAATTACTACCTTATTCAAGCTTTTAAAAAAATTCTCAGATTGCCCTGAATTCAAATTTTAGTAAAACTTACTTTATTTAATTTAATTCAGTAAGAATATTTGATTCATTGTGTATATTTATTGCTCAGGTTTTATAAAGCACTTGGTTAAATTCAATTTTGGAAGTAAAGGAAACCTGGTTCAATGGAGAAGTGTAAAATGTGTCTAAATGATACCAAGTAAGTTCAGCAAAGAGCCAGATACACTCCAGAACTACAGGTGGATTTTAGAAGGTTTACCGACACAGAATTGTAAAGTCTATTTAGTGTTCAGGCATGTGCTTTCATAGTTTTCAGTAGACTCTTAATGGAGGCCATGCCCAGGTAAGATTAAGAACTCATATGACTAGAGATAGAAAAGAGAAATAAAACAAATTCATGTTTGATCAAGATGATTCTAACTTAATATTTCTTTAGCTTTATAGGGACAAAATTAATGATTCAAACACTTCAAGAAAAATATTAGAAATTGAGTGATGATGTATTACATATTCTTTGACTTTATACATGTTAATAAGCTTTGCAGTTTATACTTCTAAGTAAATCCCAGTATTACAGCTGCTTGCTATTATTTCTGTTCTTTTGCTTTTTTGATACTTATTTTTGCACTATACATAAGCCTACATAAAGCTAAGTCCTTTGTTTACATTTCTAGAATATTTCTATGATTATGTAAATCAGCGCTTTCTTCAGAGAGAAGGGTCATCATAAATATGGTGTAATTTTAGGTCAGTACAAATATATTTGTGTACATCAGCCATTGTCCCCCAACATTTTAAAAAGATGTTATCTTAGTCTAGAAAATTATCCTATGTTGACTCATTATAAATTGTACAAGACTGTGAGGCCAAAGCATAGTATTACTGGAACAGAAAGAAAATACTTGCTTGAGCCTTGGAAAATGCTTCATGAAGAAGGGACTGGAAGGACCCAGCAGGATTTCCAAGTAGGATACTGGAGCTACGTCAGAGGGTGTCAAGTGAAGTAAGAAGAGTACTGTAGGCAAAGCTTTTAACGGAGTGCTTGACATACAGTTAAATGTTATACAAATGCTTCGCTTACTAGCCAGAGACAATAGTTTCAAACCGAAGGGAGGAAAATGTTAGAAAACAGTTTTGAAAATCAAGGTCTGATTCCATGGGGAAGTGCAATGTGATGACAGGTGGAGATGAGAGAAGCATTTAGGGCTTCACGGGTTCCATGTGTAGGAGAGCTCCAAGAGTCCAAGAGGGCCGCAGAGGTGGGAGTCCAGTGCGTGCAGCTTGGAGCACCACAGGGAGGTGAGGACGTGGGGCAAGACTTGTAAATATGTCTTCTGTGCTGTTCAGTGGTGGAGAGAAACAAGCAAGACACTGTCTTGAGAAGGAGGCAAGGTTAGCGAAGGCTTTATTTCTAGGAGTAAGAGCAGATGCAAAGGGAAAGGCAGAAGAGAGTAATGAAGTATGCAAGGTCATGTGCGCAGCGTTTCCTCCTTGGTGTGGACGACAAGAACACGAGAAGACACAGTGTGTGCCCAGTCACGCCGCACAGGTAGAGCTAGGGAGCCACAGGGTGGAAGGCTTATGTCAGTTGTTTACAGGACATAATGATCGTCTGCAGTGATTAAGAATTTGGGCATTAAAGGCTTTAGAAAAGTAGAAGAATTTAAATTAGTGCCTTGGAACGGAGAGAATCAGCTTCAGAAGGGTAGAAGGTTAGTGCTTATGGCAATTTTGGGACATGAAATGTAGAGTCGATAATGTGAAATAAATGCAGAGTAAACAAGTGAATCAAAAAAGATCAGCAACTAACTGAAAATAATTGAATCAGTTTTTTTTATTACTAAATAGAATTTTTAAAGCCCCTTGTAGTTATTTTTAATCATTAATGGTTGAGGAAAAATAATTATCTCATAAAATCTCCTAAATTTTATAGGCGTAGCCTCTTTTATTATTTCCTTACATTATAGCTATTTTTATTATTTTTCTCTTTTCACCTTTCCTTCTAAAAAATAAGAAAGCATCCCTATTGTATATCATTTTCTAAACAGTGCTGAAGATAGTTGAGTGATAGTTGATAAAGTTGTAATTCTGAAATATGGTTTTGCAGAATGTTATGTTTTTGTTTCACTTTACTGTGGACTATTTGGTCCACTTTTTCCTGTGGCTCTGCCGTGTTACAGTCGACCTGGGGAGGGGTGAGCTTTCTAGCAGCAGTCTTTATTTGGCTTGCTTACTGTCCCCTTATCTTTTTGAATCTCTTTTAAAGCTAAACTATACTTCTTTCAGTTCTTTCCTGAGTCTCATTTCTATTCTTGTTTTTGCCATGCTTGCAGTCATTTTCTTACTCTACCTCGCTCCAGACACAGTCAGAGCAGTGAGCACCGTCACAGGTATATTTTTCTTACAATTGAATATGTGTGTAGAATTGCATGTTCCTGTCTATTGGTGTGACATAGTTCACTTTCACTTCTGTGTTTTGTATAGCTATATGTAGTTTTTAGTAAAATATAGAAACACTATGTTTATAAAAATTATGAAACAAAATGTATATATAAACCAACTGTAATAGAATGTCAAAAATACAGCTTCTCTTTGGTGCATTAGAGTCATCTTTTTGAATATCTTAAAAATTTTGTTCAGTAGGTTTTACAGTTTGTAATATTGTCTACAAGGACAGGATAACAGTATCGTGTTTAAAGTTATCTCACTCGACTGCTCACCTTCCTTTGCAGAGTCCCTAAGCGGATATTAGTCAGCACTGCCTGATTTCTACATACGTGTCCTAACAACCTGCTTTCCTGCCTTTGTGCTCCAGAATAGAAGGTCTTGCCTTTGAAGTGTTTAGGTTGAACTGATTTGTCTGTGATCACTTTGTCAAAGGTGACTGTGATCCACTCCTTGGGCATAGCAGAAAAGCTTGAATCTGTGGAGAATCCTGGCTCTATGAGAAAGTTTGCTCCTTTGTACCCAGCTTCTCTTTCCAAAGTGGGCATTTCCAGTGAGTCCTATGTAGTCCAGCTCTATAGCATTTAAAGAGATGTAATTTATGTCGGAGGGAAATACCAGTTTCCTGGCATTTAAGAAAAAGGGGAGATAACTAGAAATTGAAGAGAAAGAGTCCAAAAACGTTTGTATAATTCTCAAGGTCCATAGATTTAGCAGTTTGAGCCAGTTCATTGGGAACATTTCGAGGCCCTTCAGGCAAAGAAGAGAACGACTGTGATAATGTGGTAGTGGGTTCACTGGGATAGATGAAGAATTGTGTGCCACAATTAGTCAACCTGACTGTTGTTTCAGAGTAATTTGGGGCTTTATTTGACTGTCTTCATCCTATTAGTGTAAGTTAATGAATGAAGCTGGTTTTGTAAAATAATAATGGTTTTGTAAAAATAATGAAAACCGATGAGTAAATTCCAAGTGTTTGAATTCATGTAGGTTAAAATGCAAGGAAACATGAGACATAAGATCACAACTAAATTCTTAATATTTCATATCTTCTGATGTCCTTCAGTAAATATAATGGAAATTTATGTCCTTCCAGTTGAATTGTATAGTATTGATTATTCATATGTTTAATTTTCTTTTGCATTTTCTCAGTCTGTTTTCTGTTATTTTGCTTTAATACTAAATAATTATTATATTTTGTTGTTTTGTCTTATTATTACTGCTGCTGAATAATACATTCTGCCTAGTGTTTGGTTGTAATGATCATACATTTATATTACAAAATCTAAAAAGTAGTTGTATACTTGTGTCTTGACACTCGGCCAACGCTTTTCTTAAGGTGGGTGACATGCATGAATGATATGATTTTAGACTTTTCCCTGTTAACTCTGCTTTCTCTTCTTTTCATTCTAAGTTAAAATCATGTACCACATTTTTTATACTTTGTATTTTTCTTAGTCTCAGTTACCTATATGTAGATTGTTTGCTTCAGGCTAGTTTTTTAGTTCACTAATGTAGATTAATGACTCAGCTCTTTATCAACTCTAGGTTGATTATCACTTTCCTAGATTTTTCCAAGTTCTCAATCATGGTTTAACTGCCTATTTTGAAGGGCACATTTATGAATTATCTTCTGTGCCATGATTTTGTTTGTAGTTGGGAAACACAAGATCATTAGTGTTTATATTAAAATACAACACAGGAAAATTTGTTTTATAAAATGTTATCAGTGTCTAACTGTAAGATTTGTGTATATATGCATTAAGGTGTTTGCCTTAGGGCAGCAAAAACTCATGAGAGCTTGAACTAAGTCTAATGTACACCTACCCAGAGACAATTTGGGTAGATTTTGTAAAACTGAAGTTTCTTAATTACAGTATTTTAAAAAATATTATCTTTTATCATTACTTTTTGCTAGCATATTATTTTTTTCTTTTTCTTGTCTTTTGAGGCTATGTAGTTCAGGCTGGCCTTGAACTCATTACGTAGCCCAGGCTGTCCTCAAACTTATGGTGATCCTCCTGCTACAGCCTCCCAAGAGCTGGGTTTACAGGCATGCACCACCTCGCCTGGCCCCTGTTACATTACTTTGATACATACAAAAGAATGTGTATACGTTTCAAAGCATAGTAATAAACTGAATGCCCATGAACCTGCTACCCAAACTGAGGACCAGAGCATCTGGTTTATACACTTACCAACTCCTTGTGTCCTTCTTGCCTACTGCAATCTGTACCTCTTCTACAGAAATAATATATGTAAACTGGATTTTTCAGTTTAATGTTTCTCTCCTTTGCTTTTCTAAAAGCCACTTTGAGCATTTATTTTTGGTCTACTTACTTTCTAAATTATTCATCCCTCCAACCTCCATCCCAATCTACTGTGAAATTCTTGGAATCTTTCTTTTCCTTAACATTTGTTGAAGATAAAAAATCATACATAGTTACCTATCTACCCTCTTGTATTTATTTCCATAATGTCTTGCTCTTATTATCCTTACCTGGTGTATCTTTGTATGTAATACAACTAAGCGCACTTGTTGACCTCTTGTTAATGCTGCTTTAGTCACTGATGATTTTTGTACTTGGCTTTAATCTACATCACAATTCCTGTCATCATTCTGAGTAATGTAAACATTCTTCTGAAAGATTTATTCAGCAACCACTCATTTTCTTACTATTTCAAATTTAGTGAGTGTTGCCCTCAATTCTATTTCAGTCAGTAACTCCTGTATCCTTATTCTGAATTTTATCATCATTTGAAATTGTTCTCCTTTTGATATCTTAATTCAAATATTTCTCCACTCTTGCAGGCAGAAGAACTGCATGCTACTTTCCTTTTTGGTACTGGGGATTGAACTCAGGTCCTTGAGCTTGCGCAGCAGGCGGCAAAACCGCTGAGCTAAATCCCCGGCCCAGCATGCTACTTTCTTATTCTTTCATTGAGTTACTTCTACTTCATTTGTTCTTTTGTATCAGTAGAGAACTCTACTCTCTTCACGTCTTTATCATCTCCTTCTTAGTCTCCCCCTCTTTACTTACTTACATATCCAGAAGTTGAATTCATTTTCAGAAATAGTCTCAGTGCTCTCACTGCACTTTTATTTGAAAAATTCAAGTGTAGATCAAGCTCTTTCTTTTGCAGAATGGCTTTTGAACTAAAATATCCAAATTCTTCCTAACTTACCAGCTTGAATCAAAATCATCAAACACTTAAAAGGAAAAGTGACCTTTTTATTGAGTTTGAATAAAGAAAGTGGCACTGATCTCTCAGGGCATGGTTTTTCTGCCTAGGTTTCAAGGTAAAAGACTCTCATGTAGAAATTCTCCTTCTGGGACTCTGTGTGTGTGTGTTTATGTGTGTGTATAAATCCAAGAGAGCCCTAGTCTGGCTGTGTAACATCTGGAAACTTCTCAATGGAAGGAATGCAGTAAACGCACTCTGGCACTCTCAGTTTCTGAGCAGTCTGTCAGGAGAATTTAGGGTTCCATTAGACTCTGTACTGTAAGATCATAACATGAAGAATTATGAGTGTAGCTCTTTAGAACAGAACTATTGACGTATAAGTAATATTTTTTAAACTTTTAAAATATTACTTCAAGAGATAAATGTTAACTAAGCTTCAGAAACAAAACTTTATCTTCTTGCCAGATTATGTCAACCAGTACAAAATTATCTTTGATTCATTATGCATTCATTCTAAAATACACCCAATAGTTAAACCAGTACCTTTACAAAGGCTATCATGTTTCCTGTTGTTAATTAATACTCTTTTTAAAATGTACTTTTAATTTTAATAAATATGCCTCCATATTTTAAAATATACACCTGTGTCCTTCTTATTTCCTGGGTATTTATCGCTACTTACAGCTTTGCACAACATTTTAAGGAAGAAACAGCATTTACTGGCGCTGATGGTTGGCAGCTAGCCTTGTGTGTGAAGGTATCATTGGGAGACAGCAATCCTGCTGGGTCCCAGGTAGAGACAGGAGCTACAGAGATGCATGTGGAGGAAGGTGGGTGCCAGTGACATTTAAAAAATTTATGAGCAAAGTCACAGAAGTAGAAAACATCCATTTTAATTATTTTGGAGCATTACCCACAAGTCAGGGAAGAGCAAGAAAAGAATCTGGAATGATTGAGTCTTGATTAGGAAGAGAGTTGTATGTTTTGTTAGGGAACTTAGATCTCAGATGAGAGATGCCTCAGGTACTTACAAGAGTTTTAATTATGGGACATCTGTAATAAGTTTATTCACTGCATAACCACTTTAGAAAGCATCTGGATGGTTGACTTGGAGAGAAGCACGAAAAGAAAACCATGTGCTAATAAAGGACAGATGGGAGATTTAGTGAATTAAAATCAATAATACCAGGTGAGTAAGGGGATTTGGATGTTGAGGGAGAGCAAAGAGTCAAGAAAAATGTCCAATTTTACAAGCTGTGAACTGGGCACGTATGGTACTTAACATGTGTTGGGGTTTGATGGAGGAGTTGGTCTATAGGTGAGAAAGTTCGATTTTGGAACTACAGAGAGGGATAAAGGGAAACATTTAGTAAGGAATATCATAAATAATTTTCAAGTTTAAAGAAGAGGTCTAAGCCACGTAGAACAATTTAGGAGTAAGTGAAACCAACTTGGGAAAAGCCTATGCAGTGAAGGCCAGGCAGTTTTTGTTCCTCTGTCCTGGAAAACATTAGAGTTAATTGGCAAACTGAGGAAGGAGAACTATTGAAGCAATAAAAAAAGAAGAGTGAGAAAAGTGAGACTAGAGCTAAAGGAACAGAGAGTTAAGAAGGAGTTATCAGCAGTAACAGTGAGGAATGAAGTGTCTGATGGATTTGTTCAGGAGCGGTCAGTGGTGACTTTTGCCTGGGGAGTTTCGGAAGGTTGCAAAGGCATAGGGTGGGGAAGCACATCATAGCGAACCTAAGCATGACTAGGA